GGAATGGGGATTTTATCCACCCAGAGAAGTGAATCAACGAATAATATTTGTCATGGTGTTGCTAAGCCCACACGTTCTATTACAGATTGTTTTTTGGGGCTTGAGCAAGTAATGAGAGCATGGATGCGTAACGAGAAGGACGAAGATTATAAGTCAGATCAATCTGTGATCACTCCAGTTGCTAAAAGCAGTCCTATATTGCGACAGGCATCTGTATTTTACTCGAGGAAGCTCTATAATATGTTTGAGGTAGAATTTATTCATGGGTCATGTGGCCTTCAATTACACGCCTCTATGAACAATGAAAATGAATTTTTTATGAATAATTTGGATGATCAGACCACAAACAGAACTTGGGTGGTTAATTTTGATCCTTTCAGTTCAGAGGTTCAATGTAGCTGTAGAAAATTTGAAATGATGGGGCTATTATGTGCTCACGCTCTACGAGTATTAAACTTTCTACACATTAAGAAGATTCCAGATAAATATCTTCTATTGAGATGGTCCGCAAATGTAAAGAGAGATGTGTATAACAATGATGCATGCAAGCACTTCCAACAGTCACAAATGTTGAATGATGGGAAAGGTAGCCTAATATTCGAAACACACATGCAAAAAATGTCATATCTATGCACTAATAAAGCCAAGGGAAACGAAGAGGCTGAGCAGTGCATGAAGGATTCAATGAAAAAATTATCGTTGGATATTGATAATATAATAAGTGGAAGAGTTTCAAAGTCAGACAAACAACCTAAAAGTAAAAAAAATCAGATGAATAATCAATTAAATCTTCTTGATCCCGCCAAAATGGGACCCAAAGGAATATCCAATGTCAGGCTAAAAGGTTACTAGGAGAGAAGAAAAAGAGCAAAAGGTATATCTTGGTAAAAATTTGTGTTTTTTTTTCTTGGGTGTTTTATCAAATGGCAAGTTTAGACTGATTTTCTAACAACTTATATAGGTATACCTGTTGAAGTTTCAAGCAGTCAAGAACCCAAGGCTTTAAATCCTTATCCAAACATATCGTCACTGTCAAATTTTCTAACACAGGTCAGCAACCTTATGAAGAAATTTGTATACATTATTTAAATCTTATAATAATTATGGTTCTTCCAAATGCAAAATTTCTTTCCTTCAAGGCACAGGGAATCATACACTGCAATGATGACAGATCTAATACATGAGCAGTAAGTAATTTGACATATTCTTAAATTGAATGTTTTTGTTTGTTATTATTAACAAATATGTTCCATTTTTTATACAGGTTCTAGTCAGGATGCACGCAACATTTATGTTTCAATGACAATTTCATTGGGATATTAATTTTTGTGTACTTTTTATTGTATAAAGAAGTTTGTTGAGGATGATGTATCTAGAAATTTGTATACATTTGATATTTTCGTTTGAAGGAGCATTGTCTGTATCAATGAAATTTGTATACAATTTTATTGTGTCAATGACAAATAAGTTCCTTTTTTTAGGTGAACTCAAATTTACAAAGTATTTGTCTGTCCCCTGCTGTTGTCATTCTCCCTACAAGAACTACATAAACATCACTTTTTTATAATGTTGGCCAGTCTTTTTTCAGTGGCTCATAAAATTAAAATCGGGTGTTGCAAATATAAGAGGAACCAGCTTCAGAATGTTCAAAATGGATTTAGATTTAAGGAATGTTTATGGAATGGAATACCGCAAAGCTGCAATAATACATTTAATTCCACCTGTTATGATCAAATCTTTGTGAACAATTATCTGTAATATGGATTTACATATACATTTAACATATACATTTAAACTAGCTACATTTAAACTAGCTTTCATTCTCTCTATAAGAACTACATTTAAGCTAGATTTCAAGGCATATTATATAATAAGAAATGCTCAATCCGAAATGCAATGGCTGCTAATCAACAACACAAATTTCTCACCACATTATATATAACAACGAAGTATAGGGCAACGAAATGCAATAGATGCTATACAACAACACAATATCCACATTTTATTTACAACAGTATAAAAAACATTTTTTTACAACACTATTTTCTTTACAACAATACAATACCCACATCCACATCCACAACCACATACAACCCCACACACACATCAAATGTTTCACCATGTGTAAATTCTTCCAACAATCAGCTCCGTCATCACGTCCGACCTTGCAGGATGGCATCAGTTCCAGCAATATGCACAAAGGAAGATAAATAAAACATTAATTGTAAAGCTGAACTGGATGAACAATATTAAATACTGAGCAAACCTAACAGACCTAGACGAATATTTAGTGAACAGGCAACCTGTCACAGTGACATAAATAATGATATTTAGAAAAATAGTTCGTAAATTTATAAATCATGTAAAAGGCACATATGAAGGTCACATCATATAAAGGTCACATACCATATGAGATCAATCAAAATTGTATATCTTGGCAAACAAAATTCGTATTAGCAGCAATAAATGTTGACCTTTGAAACCTACTTTGATTTCTCCAAAGAAA